CATGGACCGCAATATTGGGAAGCGCTTCTTCAAAACACCAAATGTTCTTTCTATGACATTGCGTAATGACGAATGTCGATGGTTAAACAATTCCTTAAGTCCTGCATAACGATGGCCACGAAACTTTTGCAAGTGATACCGTTGAGACCGAAATGGGGCAAGAAATCCAGGCATGTTCATGAAACCAGCATCAACTAAATAGTACTTGCCTACATGTAAATAATGAATACACAGTTCTGTCAATTGATATGTACAAAAACAGACAAGGAAAAAAGTATACCGTATGTTATTCAGGGACAATCACCATTGGGTGGGTGTGGGAACTGTAGATCAGCTCGTGTAATAGAGTCAAGCAGAATAGCGTTGTCGTGAGCGCTACCTTCCCATCCAGAATTAATAAATGTGAACAACATATCGAAGTCGCAAGCTGCGAGTACATTTTGCGATACCGTTGCTTTCCGACCGCGGAATGTATTTTGTCTTGAAGCAGGGACCCATGCATCCACCAATGTGCCATCGATAGCACCGACACAATCCTAATTGATAGATATTTGTTTGATATTAAAAGCGAAACAAACTTCGATATTACTTTCATAATAAAAAAAATAATATTTATTAGCACTTATTGATATGAACAAACTTACAGGACAGTCATACTGTTCGTACCTTAAACCAGGGAAAAAACCTCCTATCATTTAAAATTTTTCCCGGTATGTCCTCTAGGTTACGTGGTTTGATAACCGATGATGAAAGCTTGCACAATGCCCGCATAACAATTTTTATGTGCCTGCAAATTGTTTCCGTGGAGTGTTGAAATCTATCTGCCATTATTCGATGGCGATCATTTTGTGCAAAAGTGTATAAAAAAATTCCAAGCGATTCCTCCACACTGATATGCATATGTTCAGTATCGATAAAGCCATTATAGAGTAAAGTGTCTTTCAATAAAATGAATGTTTGTGCATCCATTCGCATAACGTTCATCATTGTTTCTGGATGGCCATTTAATAGGCCGAAGATGTAATCATCACCTCTAAATGGACACGTTCGCTGCGGTCGGCGACTACTTGACACGTTGATATGGTCATGCATTAAATAAATCATCAAAAAATCTATAAAATCATCAACAACCTCATCCTCCTCTGATGAGAGCTCCATTGTATTGTTTTCTCTGTCGGATGACATATGCCTTTGTCTACATCACAGTAAAAGCATAATTATAAAATACGTTATTCATGCTGTAATAGTTAGCGTTATTGGTGAAACAGTAAAATTCAGAGGAGAACAAAATTTATTTAACACATGGTCATATTATAATAATAGAACATAGTTTTAATATAACAGAAAACACTTAAAAGTTCAAAAAAAAAAAAAAGCATACGAACATAAAAAAGGAAAGAGGATGTGATGGAATGAAAAAAAAAATAAGAAAAACCAAATCAAGAATAATGAAATCATCAAACAGTTCAGCGAAGAAGATTTGCTAACACAAGCAACACAGAACTAGGGCTGGGCACAGAACCCACCCACCCGCACAAACCGCTCGACCCTACCCTACCCGCAGCCTTTTGGGCGGTTTCGATATAGGTAGGTGGGCGGGTGTGGGTCAAGAATTCTGCCAAAAATCGGGTTCGGGTCGGGTTGCGGTTCTGACCCTACCCGAACCGCAAACCGCGACCCGCGTATTATTATAATTTATATATTGGAAGTTTGATTAGATTTTTGAAACTTAGATGTGGATCTGGTTTGGTTTGGAAGTTTGATTTTTTAATAATTTATTGTGGATCTGGTTTGGTTTGGAAGTTTGATTTTTTAATAATTTATTGTGGATCTGGTTTGGTTTGGAAGTTTGATTTTTTAATAATTTATTGTGGATCTGGTTTGGTTTGGAAGTTTGATTTTTTAATAATTTATTGTGGATCTGGTTTGGTTTGGAAGTTTGATTTTTTAATAATTTATTGTGGATCTGGTTTGGTTTGGAAGTTTGATTTTTTAATAATTTATTGTGGATCTGGTTTGGTTTGGAAGTTTGATTTTTTAATAATTTATTGTGGATCTGGTTTGGTTTGGAAGTTTGATTTTTTAATAATTTATTGTGGATCTGGTTTGGTTTGGAAGTTTGATTTTTTAATAATTTATTGTGGATCTGGTTTGGTTTGGAAGTTTGATTTTTTAATAATTTATTGTGGATCTGGTTTGGTTTGGAAGTTTGATTTTTTAATAATTTATTGTGGATCTGGTTTGGTTTGGAAGTTTGATTTTTTAATAATTTATTGTGGATCTGGTTTGGTTTGGAAGTTTGATTTTTTAATAATTTATTGTGGATCTGGTTTGGTTTGGAAGTTTGATTTTTTAGTCACTTTTTAATATTTTAAGAAAAAATTATATAAAAGTAAAAAAAATAATTTAATAATTTATTGTGACTTTTAAATTAAATTTTTTTTTTTATTCAAATGCTTGGTTCCCAATCATCTACATCTACTGATTCAAATGCTTGGAAGTTTGATTTTTTTTTTTGATAACAAATCAGTGTAGTGTGTTAATAATAAAATTTATAACTTTAATTATTAAAGTCATAAATTTTTTCATGCATATATAATTATTTTTCAAAAATACACTTGATTTTTAATTTCTTCAAAAAAAATGCTTCCAACTTAACTTTTTTCTTTACACTTTAGCAAAATCAGTGTAGCCAAAAATGAGAATTGGTTATATTTTCTTTACACTTTAGCAAAATTATTTTTACATTTACCATTGGAATTATTCTATATCATTTTCATAAATAGGAGAAAGAACCATAATGATTAATCCATGAAAGTAGGAAAATTATTGAATACACATTCTCGACAAATAAAAAACTATAACATACACAATTCATATGTATATTGTGAATTTAAAATTGGTAGCATGTAGGTCACATTCATAATATTAATAAGGTTTATAAGACTGTATTTATTTGATTTATAAACTTGAGTAGAAATTTGAAAACAAAAATGGTGAATGAGATGTGGATGGTTTATTTTATAAGACTCAAGTTTATAAGATTGTATTTATTTTATTTTCATGTTGAAAATAGCTGATGCTTTTGCTAGAATTGTTATGGTTTAGATTCAATTATTAATACCATCCATGACTTAATTGTTATCTCATACTTTTTTAATTTTTTATTACCAGTTTGAATGGATAAAGATAACAATGCTAGTTTTGAATCTACCGGAAGCCCTATTGTTCCACCAGAATCATCTAATTCTCAAACTAATGTTTTCCCATCTGAATCTAAGCCTCTTAAACCCCCGAACAAAAGAAAAAGTGAGAGTAGTGGTGGGAGAGCACCATCCTCGGTTTGGGACCATTTTGATAAGGTTATAGGAGAAGATGGGAAACGTAGAGCAGTGTGTAAGTATTGTTTTAAAGAGTATATGGCCGATTCTAGGACTCATGGGACTAGTAATTTGAGAAGTCATACCCCTAATTGCAAACAATTTCCAAACAATGATAAAGATGGGCAACAAACATTGAGTTTTAAATCAAAACAAAATGTCGAAGAGGGTGTTGAGGTTGTGGCAACAAGTTTTAGTTTTGATGCTTGTAAAAGGGCTCTTGCCGAGATGGTGATTATTGATGAGTTACCTTTTCGATTTGTGGAGGGAGTTGGGTTTAAAAGATTTTGTAATGTTGCCGTTCCTAAATTCACACCAATCCCATCTCGTCATACCATAGCAAGAGAGGTGACAAACATATTCAACAACGAGAGGGATAAATTGAGGAGGTTGATGAAGGGTCGTAGAATTTGCTTCACTACGGACACTTGGACTTCTATTCAAAATTTGTGTTACATGTGTCTAACGGCTCATTTCATTGATGATAATTGGAAACTACAAAAAAGAATCATAAACTTCCAACAAGTTGAAGATCACAAGGGGGAAACTTTGGGTAGAAAAATTGAGTTGTGCTTGCTTGAGTGGAACATCAATAGTATCTTCACTGTAACTGTTGATAATGCTAGTTCCAACAATCTTACCATTCAATACTTGAGAAGGAATACCAAAGATTGGAAGGGGACCATTTTGGAGCATGAGTTTTTGCATATGCGGTGTTGTGCACATATTCTAAACCTTGTTGTGAGTGATGGATTGAAAGAAATAGATGATTCTATTGCAAATATTAGACTTGCGGTTAGGTATGTGAGGTCTTCTCCTAATCGGCAAGATGCTTTTAAGAAGTGTGCGGCCTATCTAAAACTTGTGACTACTGCTCTTGTATGCCTAGATGTACCAACAAGGTGGAATTCCACATATTTAATGTTGGAGGCTGCTGAAAAGTTTGAGAAGGCTTTTAACCGTTTGAAGTATGAAGACTCCAATTTTGAAACTTACTTCAAGGATGTTGATGGTGGGATTAGGAGGATTCCAAATGAGGAGGATTGGAAAAAATGTAGGTTGTTTGTGAGATTTTTAAAACTATTCTACCTTGCAACAAAGAAATTTTCCGGGTCCCTTTTTGTTACTTCCAATACATTTTATAAAGAGATGTTTAAAATTGAAAGCACAATTAATCAATTAATTTTGGACAATGATGATGTTTTGTGCACAATGGCTATGAGTATGAAGCAAAAGTTCAACAAATATTGGGGGGATGGAAATAAGATTAATTTGTTGTTGTATGTTGCTGTTGCTCTTGATCCTACAAAAAAGATAGCATACTTGGAATTTTGTTTTACAAATATATTTCAAGGAGAAAAGAGGAAGGTGGATGAGATGGTGAACAAAATTGTTTCTTGTTTGACTCGTTTGTACAACCATTATGCCACAATTTATTCATCAAATGAGAGTGTCTCGAGGGTGACTGAAGTGGAGACAATGGTGATTGATGAGGATGATTTGGATTCTCAAATGGAGTCCCAATTTAATTCATATTTGGAAGGGCGCTTCACTAGTGGAAGCAAGTCGGAATTAGACAAGTACTTGGGCGAGGTTGAACATTTTGCAAAAAATCAGACATTTGAGATATTGGAATATTGGAAGAATAATGCAACAAAGTATAGAGTGTTATCTCAAATAGCAAAGGATGTGTTGGCCATGCCCATTTCTACCGTTGCTTCGGAGTCGGCTTTCAGTACCGGGGGACGTATCCTTGATCCATTCCGTAGTTCACTTGCCCCTTCCATGGTTGAAGCTCTTGTATGCACACAAAATTGGCTTAAAAGCAACCTTCCAATTTCTCTTCGAAAAGCAATGGATGATGTGAAGGAATTTGAGCAATACGACTCGGGTAATATGTGAATATCTCTTCATTTTTAATTCTATTATTATTTTTACTATGCAAGTTTATTTATCTTCTCTTGTTGACTCATGCTTTTAGGTACTTTGGAGCCATGTTCCTCTTCAACCCCAAAGTCTAATGTAGATGCTATAATTGAACTTTAATGTTCATTTGGCTCATGTGTGAGATTTTTCTAATTAGTTGAGATCAGCTTAATGTTTATTTATTCATATCTATTTATTTATATTTATTAATTTGGCTCATTGGAATTTTTTTTGGCAGATTGTTGGATGAGATTGGACATTGGAAGATGGACCTAAAGAGTTTAGTGAAGCCTTGGATGGATACCACCTTTTGAAATTATTTTGGATGAAGTTTGTAGACAATGTTATTTTAGTTTGTAACTAATGTTTATTATTATTTTTTTTATTTTGGATGAATGCAAAATTAATTGGAGCACTAAATTTTAGGTAAGCTTGCTTTAGATTTTGGATGGATGGATGGATGAAAACTAATTTATTTTAGTTTCTAACTAGTTATTATTATTATTTTTGCATTTTGGATTAATGGGTAAGCTTTGGATTATGGATGGATGGAGATAACTAGTTATTATTATTATTTTTACATTTTGGATGAATGTAAAATTTAGGTAAACTTTAGATTATGGATGGATGGAGATGACTAGTTATTATTATTATTTTTGTATTTTGGATGAATGTAAAATTTAGGTAAGCTTTGGATTATGGATGGATGGAGATTGATTTTAGTGTGAATTTTAATGTTTTAGTTTGTAATTAGTTTTATCAATTATTTTTGTATTTTGGAAGAATGTAAAATTTATTATATCATTATATGGGCATTTATGTTATCATGAATTTAATTTATAACTTTTCCATAAATAATAAAAAAATGCTTAAAAAGTAGCCCAACATGTCAAATTTGTTCAAATTAATATCATAACTAAGCCCAATTTAAAAAAAGCCCAAACCGCAAACCGAACCGCACCCGCCTGCACAACCAACTGACCCATCCGCACAACCCGCGAACCGCACCGCGGGCGGTTGCGAGTCTGTTTTCTCCAACCCGCATGTGTGTGGGTCGGGTCGATTTTGGCCCGCACCCGGCCAAAACCGACCCGCGATCAGCCCTACACAGAACTTCTTAATTCACTGCAAAACGAGGATCATGGCTAGGCGCAAATGGGTAGGAGTGCGCATAAAAAACCTTCCCCATTCCTTATCCTTGAACAGTGTCAGTGCCCTAACGTACTGCAACGGTGGTATGTCCCCAAGCTCAAGCAATGCATCTTGACATGCATCAAGGGAATAATCATCACCACCTGCACTTACAGCCTCAGTCTCATTTTCTCGTGCACGTGAATGTCCTGTTTTGGCTTGTACATAGGATGTGAAAGCTGCGCACACATCATCAAACCCACTTGACCGTGACATTTTGGAACGACCACTGTCAGTCTGGCTGGTTGCAAAGCCCTTCTTGTGACCTTTGCCCTTTGCTAGATCCATATACTCATCCCCGAATAAGTCAACAGGAATGGCCTCAGCAGCATTACTCCCACCAGCGTTACTTCTACCAGCATCAGCGTTCCAAAATTTATTTAACATGTCATCTTCTTCTTCTGAGTCAAGGGGTCCTTGTGTGGATGCACGAGATAGGGCTCCTGTGGCACAACAATTTTCAACAATTTCTGCCATTTCTTGAAAATATTCAAACCCTTTTGTCCTAAACTTCTTTACATTTTTGCTAGCCTACAACAATTACAAAACAAGAATTCAGCACTGTATATATCATGAAATGTTTAAAATAAAATTACAAAATAGTACAAATTAATGGAAAACCTTATCCCAAAATTCATCGGGTGCAACAACAGTGCCTATAATAGGATCCCATCCCAGACCAGTCTGTGCCTGCAGTCGCTTAAATGTCTGGTAATCAGCTTTCAGTCGCTGATATTTTTGGCGCACCTTGACACCTGTATACCGAAATCCATATATGTTGTGCAACTGATTTGCATAATGATTCTAATGCCTAATTGTCCACGAAGTAGTACGGCCCATTGTTTGATTGTTTCTAACCTCATCTCTTAACATATTTATTAATTTCGTTTCAATTCTGGGCGTCCACATTTTGGTGTTCTCATTGTCATCGGAATTATTTCCATCCATCTATAAACATACAAATTATATTTAAACTAGTTTGTGATGGATATACAAGCATAACAGAGTATTTTAAAGTAGTCAGCGATGGATATACAAGAATAACAGCGTCAAAATGGTTTGAAGGAGAACACAGATAAAGGAAAAAGAACAGATGATTTTATTTCGAGAAAAAAAGTACGTAGTAGATTAATTGAAATTAAATAGCATAAATATAACCACAAAAAAAAAATTCATATAGCAGAAATATAACCACAAATAAATAAAAAAAATCAATTAACATTGTGTTTATATAGGAGGAAACAAATCAGTAACATATAACCACAAATAAAAAAAAAAAAATCAGTTAACATTGTGTTTAAATAGGAGGAAACAAATCAGTAAAAGAAAAATTAAGGAAAAAAAATCAGTAAAAAAGCCCGGTAGCTTCAAACAGACTGGTAGGTTTTAACGAAGAAATGGAAAACCGGAAGAGGTGGGAGGACCGGGTGGTTGACCGGCTGATCGACCGACCAGATGACCCGGGAGATGACCGGCCGGGTGTCCCAGGCACTGTCGCTTCAAACAGTTCAAACCATTAACTGATTGATGAAAGGTTCAAACAGTTCAAACCATTAGTAAAGAAATGGAAAACCAAAAGACAATGTGGGAAGACTGGGTGGTTGACCGGCCGGATGACCCGGGGGACGATCGGCCGAGTGTCTCAGGCACTGCCGTTTCAGGTTCAAAGGTTCAAACAGTTCATAATTTAAAAGAACAACCGATCTGAAATGGAAAATACGCCTCTACAAATTCTCATAAACCATTTAGGAACTGATTTCAACTTCTCCGAAATCATTTATACATAACAGATGAAGATTGATTTACTGACTATTCTTGAAGAGCAAAAAAGTTGAAACAGTTCAGGATGAAGAATGAAATCATTTATCGACTCGTCTGAAATCATTTTCAGATAACAGATAAAATCATTTTCAGATAACAGATGAAGGATAAAGGATTTATTTATCAGACCAGTGGGAGTTGAATAGTTATCGCCGGTGATGGAATGTGTATACTGATTGAATGTGCCACTATTTGCTTGTCGGATTCGACAATAAATTTGATAAATTTGACCTGAAAAAAATTAAAAATAAATTAAGATGAATTTCTCAAATAATTTCCCTATAACAAAATATGTAAATAAATTTGTGAGTAATTTCACCTCGCAGTTGTCGTTGTTTGGTTGCCCGTAATAAGAATTGTCCGCAATGCACAAATCTTAACTCAGTCGATCTGTGAAATATGATACCAGTACAGAGCGGGTTGGGCGGATTCATTATTTATAAAATGAGTCTGAAACCCACCCGTGATGAATTTGAAGTACGGATGTTTGATACAGAGAAGCCACCCGTGATGAATCTGAAGGACTGATATAGATGAGCTTCACGTGAAAGTTGCAGAGACGATGAAGAAAGCAGAAACGTTGAAAGGGAGATACAAGCTGCCAAACAGATTTTCAAAATGTAATTTGAATTAACACGCAGAATCAATTTTTGAACGTCGTATCCAAACGTCATGCGCGAGCTCACGTGTTGAAAATTGATTTGAATTAACAACCAAACAGAACCTTAATAACTCATATGTATTTGGTTAGTTAGGCGGATTTGAAATTTTAATTTTTTTTAAGACTAAATTTGAGATGGTTATATTAGTTTCGTTATCGAATTGAACTGAATTTGAAATGACTCATAGCTATATTTGGCATAGATTATTCGGACTAAAATAGTTACAAAAAGATAAAATAAACTAAAAAGTTAATAAAATAAAATGTCACATTCAAATAATAATTATTTTATTTTTTCTCCCATAAAAATAAAAAAAACCAAACAATCCATTTTAAATGAAATTTTTTAATTCTAAACTAAAATAATTAAAAAATTAAAAAATCAACTCCTATCCAAACGAAGGCATATCATTTACTATACAATATAAATTTGACTCAAATTTGTGTACCCTAATTGACCGCCAAACAACTTTGTATGATTAATGGTCCAGTTCCAACCTTTGTGGCCCAACTCACAGCGGAAGGCCGGCAAAGCCCAAAAATATTTCCCGGGTCAAATCTGATTGTTCGCCTAACCGTTTAACCTCCCTCCACCACTTGTTTCCATGGCCTAGTTTTCACTCACTCTGTCTCTGTCTCTCTTTTTGTATAAATCTTTCAGTCCATAGATACAGAACAGAGCAGACCCATAAAGCAAAGTACTCATGGCAACAACCTCACTTCTACTTGTCAACTCTCCTCTCTCAGCCTCTTCATCACCCTCCCCTCTTGTTCTCCGAACAATACGTTCTTCACAGACCCAATACTCAACTCGGTTTCAACCCAGAACCAGAACCACACCCATCCACCTATCAATCGCCGGAGCTCAGGCCGATGACGATGTTCGGAGGAAGGAAGACATAGTCATTGTTGGCGCCGGTATTGCCGGCCTTGCCACAGCAGTTTCGCTTCACAGGTTTGGCTCACCAATGCCTCAAAATTAGTCGAAATTGTGTGTGTGTGTGTGTGTTTCACCAAGTTAATCAATTGTTGTGTTTTGATTGATGTGGAATTTGAAGGCTCGGAGTTGGGTCGATGGTGCTGGAACAGGCAGAGTCACTGCGGACTGGTGGAACCTCACTCACGCTCTTCAAGAATGGGTGGAGGGTTTTGGACGCAATTGGGGTTGGCAATGATCTCAGAACCCACTTTCTTGAAATTCAAGGGTATGTCTGCTTTGTATAGTTTCAATTTCAAACACAATTTCGTATACCTTCCCGGGGATGACGGAACTATTTGAATATGGGAGGTCATGACCATATTTTTGTGAAAATTTTGTTGGAACAATTTTCTGTGTATAATAAATAAATTGAAACAAAATCAAATAAATAAAATAAATAATTTACAGAATTTATTTTATCGAACCGAATAAAAAATAAAAAGGCCAAGTCGAGTGTGTGACACTCTATCCTTAAGACAGATTCACCCCGCTACGGTGTTTACGGTTATGTGGCGTCTATCTCCCAGGATACAATGATCTTCACAAATTTGTAGTAGCACTCTAAACAAATTTGTCCCGCGAACTAGAACCTTGTGTTCTATAACTCTCTGAAAATTTTTCTAAAATAATATGAGGAATAAATGATGCAAGAGAGCAAAATGAAGGTAAGGAAAATAAATTTTTGGAATCAATCAAAATTGGAATGTGGCTGCCTTTATATAGGCTTTGTTGGCACTTATTCAATTTGAATAGAAAATGCATGAAGAAGGAACATAACTCTTCATTTAAAATAAAGAGACACCATGAAAGAGTTGTACCCTTTCACTAAAATGAAGGTTTGACTTCTTTTTTTTTTTTAAAACAAAAAGATACCATGAAAGGTTACACCATTTCATTCAACATGGAGTCTATTTCAATTCATAACTACCTCTTTATAAATTTTCCAACAATTTCCCACATGAATGAAATTGACAGAGAGAAAATGCAACAACATGATGTAATACAGAGAGTCTGAAATTGGAAATATTCTGCAAGGGATAGGTAGTTTTGGTTTTGAACCTTCCCTTGTGAGACACTATCGGATTTACTAACTAACCAATGAACATGATGTCTTGAACTGTTCAGCCGTTTGTGTAAACAAAGACAATAGAACTGACACAGTATACACCAGACACAGTTTAGTTCTCATTATTGTGTTCATTTTGGCCCTGAACAACCTGGTCTTTCATGAGTGCTCTAAAGACTTATAGCCCTTTACAAATCTCATAGAACCGGTCCAGCTCACACTCACATAGGTGATTTTTATGAAGAGTATCCTGCCATACTCCACTAGATTTACCTAGATATAAGAATCATTAAAATTTTACTTAACCTAAAACGCTGCAGACATCACTTATTTCATCTTAGAAATGGATAGGAGTTGGACTCCCTAGTGATCCTTCTGAGTCATTCACAACTCGGTTGTCCCTTTGAACCTAGATCTTGGGATCTCCAGTCAACTAGGTTGGGTTGCCGTTGTGGTAACTCTTGTTTAATAGGTTTGAGTCCTATTCCCCTCGATGAATTCTCAACTAGCTCTCTTGCTAACCCTTTGGTTAGTGGATCCGCTATGTTGTCTTTAGACTTCACATATTCAATGAAAATACTGGAGAGTAGTTGTCGCACGGTATTATGTCAACGACGAATGTGTCGTGACTTACCGTTATACATATGACTCTATGCTCTACCAATTGCTGATTGACTATCACAATGTATGCATATAGCAGGCACCGATTTTGGCCACATTGGAATATCTTCAAGGAAGTGGCGAAGCCATTCTGCCTCTTCCCCAGCTTTGTCTAAAGCTATGAATTCTGATTCCATAGTAGACCTAGCAATGCAAGTCTGTTTGGAAGATTTCCAAGATACAATCGCCCCACCAAGAGTAAAGACATACCCACTGGTGGGTTTTGAGTCTCTAGTATCCAATATCCAGTTTGTATCACAGTAAACTTTAAGTACTGTTGGACATCTAGTATAATTCAGCTCAATGTTACGAGTAAATCAGAGATATCTTAGAACCCATATAATTGCTTTCCAATGTTTTACTCCTGGATTACTCGTATAGCTACTTAATTTACTTACTGCATAAGCTATATCTGGGCGAGTGCAGTTCATCACGTACATTAAGCTTCTAATAATTTGGGCATACTCTAATTGAGAAATACTTTCCTGTACATTCTTAGATAGAAACAAATTAACATCTACAGTTGTTCTTGAATTTTGTCAAGTATTTTCTCAATGTAATGAGATTGTGACAAAGTATAACCTTCTGATATTTTGGTAATTTTCATACCAAGAATTACATCAGCAATGCTCATGTCCTTCATGTCAAAATGTTTATTCAACATTTTCTTGTTAGTTTTAATTATATCATTATTACTACCTATGATGAGCATATCATCTACATAAAGACATACAATAACATAACATTTGTCTGTGTTTTTAATATAAACACATTTGTCACACTCATTAATTTTAAATCCATTTGGCATCATTGTCTTGTCAAATTTCTCATGCCATTGCTTTGGCGCTTGTTTTAAACCATATAATGATTTAATCAATTTACACACTTTCTTTTCTTTCTCTGGAGCAGAAAAACCTTCTGGTTGTTCTATGTAAATTTCTTCATCTAACTCACCATTTAAGAAAGCGGTTTTCACATCCATTTGATGAATTTCTAGATTGTATAAAGGCGCAATAGCAATTAGCATTCTAATGGATGTTATTCTAGTAGCCAGTGAGTAAGTGTCAAAGTAATCAAGACATTCTTTTTGTCTAAAACCTTTGACCACAAGTCTTGTATTGTATTTGTCAATTGATCCATCTGCTTTCATTTTTCTTTTGAAAATCTACTTGTATCCAAGAGGTTTACAACCTGGTGGTAAGTCCATTAATTCTCAAGTGTGATTTTGCAAGATGAATTCAACTTCACTATTAACAACTTCTTTCCATAAAGGAGGTTCAAGACTGGACATAGCCTTTTTAAAAGTTAAAGGCTCATTTTCTAACAAATATGTTAGAAAATCTGAACCAAAAGTTTTTGAGGTTCTAGCACGTTTACTACGCCTAAGTTTCTCTTCCTCATTTTGATCTGTCTCTTGCTCTTGATTTTGTTCTTGATCATTACTAGTAATAGCATCAAAAGATCTTTTATTAGTACAAGTCTCTTGTTTAGTCTTATTTGGAAATACATGTTCAAAGAATGATGCATTCCAAGACTTAATAATAGTATTTACATGCATTTCGGTATGTTCTGATTTATAAATCAAAAACTGATATGCACTACTATTTTTGGTATAACCAATGAAAACGCAATCAATGGTCTTAGGACCTATCTTAGTCTTTTTAGGATTAGGAATAGCTACTTTAGCCAAACATCCTCACACTTTTAAGTATTTGTAGGATGGTACTCTCTCATGCCGCATTTTATAAGGTGTCTGATTCACTTTCTTTCGGGGCACTTTATTTAAAATATAATTTGCAGAAAGTATTGCTTCCCCCCACAAGTTTTGAGGTAATCCAGAACTTATTAGCATGGCATTCATCATTTTTTTAAAGTCCTATTTTTCCTTTCAGCAATTCCATTTTGCTGAGGTGAGTAAGTGTCACGACTCGAACCCGCCCTTATGGGTTTAGCATCGTAACCGGCCAGTAATCCATGATTACCAAAGGCCTGCTTAACAGTAACAACAGTAATACAGAGTAAGGGGCTGGCGGAAGCCAAACAGTAAATAAAAGATGTCCAATAAGCTGTGAAGTTCTGAATGCAAAAAAACTTTCATGAACAAGTCACATTCGTAACCAAAACATATGTACAACATCATATATACAAACATCCAGGTTAGGGACCAAATCCCTAACTATAACTGTACAGTCAAGTCTTAAACATTAATTACAGAACAAAGACAAACGGGTGAAACTATGACACCCCAAAAATAGCCTTAGCTTGGACAGACTGGGAACCTCGAAGTAAGGCACAACGGTTGGCTTGACAAAACGGGAGTTTAACCTGACGCTCCTAGCCCCGGTCCGGTGCCTGAACACCTACATATAAATATAAACAGTGAGGTAAAGTCCAGTGAATAACAAATGCGTAAAGGGGTTAAGAATGAATGCATTTTCAGTAATTAAAACAGTCAATTGCATCTGTAGATCAATTATCCAATCAGTGGCTCATATTTTTCATGCCATAACAGTTATTTAGAAACAATAGTAGTCATATGTGGTACATCCAATAACAAAATAGTATAGCAGGTCTTAATAGACCGAACAGTCAGTCGATGGCCATCATAATAGTAAACAGTAGTAATTCCAAGCATTGGAACTGACAGAGATCTCTGTAACAGTAACAGTAACAGTAACAGTAAGTCGTTATGGATGCCATGAGTACAGTTCGTAAAAATAGGACAAACATTCATTCAGTAAACATTGTCATTTTAGAAAACAGTACAGTCAATCATTCAGAAATAGTTATAATTGAATGTATCTTTACAACATTGTTACTCATAGAGTTCTGGGCTATAGATAAGCTAATGAGCATCCTCGAATGCCAACCCTACACAGTTGCAGAATGAACACACACTACGTTATACACTTGGGAATCAATAACTTAGTCCCCTAACTTGACTTGGTGTGGTTCTATAACATTATCCTCATTAAGATGCCTTAAACTTAGCCTAGGAATGCCTAGGATGGAATGAGGGTGCAAAAATGCACTTTAAAACACTTTTCAAAATTTGTTGAAACAGGGATCCACGCTCAAGCGTGGATTTCTACGCTCGAGCGGGCATGCAGACAAAGCAGCTTCGCTCGAGCGTGACTTTCCCTGCTTGAGCGGATTGCAAACTCAAGAAAAGTACTGGATGCATAATTTTCACGCTCGATGGACGCTCGACCTCCGCTCGAGCGTGAGACTCAGGTCCTCGCTCAAGCATGAATTCTCCCACTCGAGCGGACTGCAAAACACATGAACTTCTGGGCATATGCATTTCACGCTCGAGTGTGACTTCCTAAGCTCGAGCAGAAGTGTATGTACTCAGAATGTACGCTCGAGCGTGAAGTTTTACGCTCGAGCGTGGATCCAAAATCTAGAATTTCTAGATTGATCCTCAAGCACAAAACTCAACTTTTAAAGCTTCAAACTCGATTCTTTTGGGCTAATTTTCTGGAAGACACTTGAAAACT